ATATTTGTTCAAAAACAACCTGAATTCAGTTTTCTTACATAAATTAATAAGCTTTTATCGAACCTTTGAGTGTTTTAAATCTGACAGTTCTGTTTTCCTGAGTAATTATAAAGGAAACTAACAATTTGATTTCTTAGCTTCAGGTACATCTAGAAGACCTTGGGTACTTGGAAAAGTAATGGAAAAGGAATATTGTCAAGCTAAAAAGGTAAAAAATATACCCTGTAATTTAAGCCTACAAATTATAGAAATTGTCAGGTCACTTTAGCCCACTTGAGTTTGACTTTGAAGTAAAAAAGTTTAAACCACCAGTTTTATATACGTTCATATTATTTGCCTTTAGATTGTAAAGGTACATAAGCAGCAGTCTGTCAACCTATAAAGAACGTTACTGTAGGGCTGGGAAGGTGGCTCAGCGGTAGAGTGCTTGCTTCGCATGCATGAGGCCCTGGGTTCAATTCCTCAGCACCACATAAGCAGAAGCTGGGGCCATATATATCTAAAATCAAAAGTGGGATCCTCAGTAGGGATGAGGAAGGGCAAGAGGAAAAAGAGCATTCTCAAGGGAGTCTCATCAAAAGGAATTCAAAGAGAGCTATGAATATAGCTTAGTGGTAGAGTGCTTCCTCGCATACATGAAGCCCTGGGTTGGATTCCTCAGTACCACATACACAGAAAAATCCAGAAGTGGAGCTATGGCTCAAGTGGTAGAGTGCTAGCCTTGAGCAAAAAGAAGCTCAGGGACAGTGCCCAGACCCTGAGTTTGAGCCCCAGGACTGGCAAAAAAAAAAAAAAAGTTACAGTAATATTTTTCTTTTATGGCTATTACTAATTACTAATGTTACTAGTGTGCAGAAAACATCCCTCCATAACTAGAAGCAGCAGTGAATTATATTTAAACATAGGATTGATATTTACTTATTTTTATATTCCACCTTTATTGAAATAAAATGAAATAAAATGGTGTAAGGTATTTGGTGGCTTAAAAGTGGATCAGATTGGGCTGGGAAGGTGGCTCAGTGGTAGAACACTTGCCTTGTATGCATGAGGCCCTGGGTTCGATTCTCAGCACCACATAAGCAAAAAGAAAAAAAGCCTGAAGTGGCGCTGTGACTCAAGTGGTAGAGCACTAGCCTTGAGCTGAAGAGCTGAGGGACAGTGCCCAGGCCCAGAGTTCAGGCCCCACGACCGGACCCGAAAAAAAAAAAAAAAAAAAAAGTGGATCAGATTATAATGTTAGCATTATCCACGCTATAAAATTGGTGAAACTTTTTCCTTCCTGACTAATTTTGGGCCTCAAGGTTATAAAACACTAATAGAATTTAAACTGAATGCTTTTCAGTTTCTTAATTCAGTGATAGATGGCTCACTTTAGTATACTCTTTACAAGTAGATACAAACTTTTGACTTCTACCAGTGTTAATAACTCAGTATAATCTTATTTAATTAGAAGTATGTCTTGGGGTTGGGAAGATGGCTCAGTGGTAGAGCACTTGCCTTGCATGCCTGAGGCCCTGGGTTCAATTCCTCAGCACCACATAAGCAAAAAGAAAAAAAGCCGGAAGTGGCGCTGTGGCTCAAGTGGTAGAACGCTAGCCTTGAGCTGAAGAGCTGAGGGACAGCGCCCAGGCCCAGTGGTTCAGGCCCCACGACTGGACCCCCCCCCCCAAAAAAAAAAAAAAAAATAGAAGTATGTCTTATGTAGACTCACTTTTTCCCTCCCATCCCCCAATTCTTTAGCAGTTTGTGGTAGATGAGAACTTACTTTGGTTTGATCTTTCAACTCTTTCCCTTTTTTCTCTCCCTCTTAGGCACAAAACAGATTTAAAGTTCCTTTAGGGACAAAATTTTACAGAGTGAAAGCTGTGTCATGGAATAAGAAAGTATAGCATCTGGAAGAAGTTACTACATTTTATTTCATTTTCTGATTTGTCCTCCAGTGCTCATGAATCACTTCAAAAACAGTCCATCTTTTTATATGAAATCAACATAGTATACTTCATTGGTGTACAACACTTACTTTTTAACTGGCTATTATTAGGAACAATAAATTCATCAAAACCCTTGGCTGAATTAAAATGGCTTTGGTTTTTTTTTTTTTTTTTTTTTTTTTTGGTTTGTTTTACTTTTACCCAGATAACTCTAGAAATGCGGACCAAATTATTTCATTTTCTCAAAGGGCAGACCCTGTGCATTGTGGCTCATGGTTAGCCATATTCATTGCCTGTTAAATATTCATTAGCTTGAACTTTAGATGTAAATGTTACCTATTACCAGCATTTGTCCTTTTGTGAAAATCAGTATCAGAATACTTGCACTCTTCAATACGTTCTTTATTAAATGTATAAATTCTTCAAAAATAGTTAGAGTGTTACTGCATGCCGATAATCATAATTTAAGTTTGCCTCAATAGATTGCTAAAGCAAATTCTTTCATTTCTTTAAATGCCCTTTTGATGTTATGAAGGGAAAAAACACCTATAATTTTTTGACTGACTGACTTTAAGATCAGCCATAAATGATCAGCAGTCTTCAAAAGCACTTTGAACAAATAGGCCACCTGGGTTCTATAGGGAAGAGTCTGTGCCACTGATGTTTTCACATGCAAGACTCAAACCTTTTCCACATCTTTATGACTCTATTTAGAATAATCATACTGGTAAAATCTCAATTCATGGTTGAGTTTCAGAAAAAGATACTCACTGTACATTAACCATTTAAATAACAAAATATTGTATTGTAAAAGACCTGTACAATTTTAAAAACAATAAAGATTTGAACCTGTAAATGTGTGTGCCTTTTAAAGGATACATTTTTAATATATTTGAGTGATTGCTGCGAAGTGTGAAAAAATTGTTCTGTATCATATCAGAGAGAACCATGTTTATTACAAAAATGTTGTTTATATTCTATGTAATGGAGTAAAAACAGTGTTATGTAGAATAGCGTTATGTAAAATAGGCCTTTAGAGAATTTGTCATTGAGCAAGGGTATTTAAGTGAGGTCATATAAGAGTTGTTTCAGATTTGTTGCTGGAGAACAGTAACAATGATTTTTCAAAAAATATTTAATTTCTTCATAAATAAGTTGAATATTTTTTTAAATATGTATATCTAATACTATAAAAATGGAATAAACATCATAGTGTATAGATTACTGAATTTGATTAATGAATAAAGGAATAAATGATTTCATATGTTTCTAATGAATCCTTCCATGACATCTTTATGCAAAGAATACCAGTATAGAAAATGATTTTGAATATTGTGGTTTTGTTAAGTAGATTTGCCTGGGTTTAAATGGATCTGTTAAGCAGACTGTCATAATTGGTGGGTTCACATTATATGTGATCATTGTGCTGTGGAATCATTGAGTGTGATAGTATGTGTTATGATCATTGTGCTGTGGAATCATTGAGTGTGATAGTATGTGTTATCAAGTCCACCATCTCATTAACAACTTAATGATCTTTAATAATGGACATCTGTTGCTTTATATTTATCTTATCATGCCAATGGTCACCTGTATTTTTCATAAGCAAACAAAACAGCTGAAGTGATTTTTATTAGTCTGAAAGAATAGGAAATGTCATATGGAAATCTAAATTCCTATCAATTGGGTTTGTAACTTTCAGTAATTAAAGAAATGCACTGTAAGTTTTGGTACCAAAATGCCTGGCTTATAGTTAATGTCCTAACTTTAGATGAATTCTATATTGTCTCATAACACAACATAATAGTAGGTAGTACATCCTCAGTGGGGTTATTTTTACACAATCTGAGAATTACAATTTGTTGTTGTTGTTTTGTTTTTTGTTTTTTTGGCCAGTCCTGGGGCTTGAACTAAGGCCTGGTAACTGAAACTGAGCTGCTTTTGCTGCTTTTGATACACGGGCCACTTTCAGATTTTTCTGTTTATATGGTACTGAGAAATTGACCGCAGGGTTTTATTCATGCTAGGCAAGCATTCTACCACTAAGCCACATTCCCAGCCAAGATTACAGGTTTTTGGGTTCTTGGGTTTTTTGTTTTGGTTGTTGTTTGAGATCTAAAAAAAAATTTTTTTTGGGTCCGGTCGTGGGGCCTGAACCGCTGGGCCTGGGTGCTGTCCCTCAGCTCTTCAGCTCAAGGCTAGCGCTCTGCCACTTGAGCCACATTGCCACTTCCGGTTTTTTTCCTTTTTTGCTTATGTGGTGCTGAGGAATCGAACCCAGGGCCTCATGCATGCAAGGCACTCTACCACTGAGCCACCTTCCCAGCCCCTGAGATCTCAAATTTTAAGTGGTTTGAAATATATCTGGCATGTACAAATAAGCACTCAGCATGTCAGCTAGAAGAGGTTCCAGAAATGTAGCTTTGTAGGAAGCTAAGCACCATTGTACACATTTGTTATCCCCTGAAATGGGCCAACTAGAGAAGTTAAAGTGAGCCTGGGAGACCTTGTCTACTTGTCTCACAAAAGAGGTGAGGAAAGAGGTAGTTTTGTTTGTTTGTTTGCTTGCCTGTCATGGGGCTTGGGCCCAGGCACTGTCCCTGAATCTCTTTGTGCTCAGTGCTAGTGCTCTAGCTCTAAGGGGTAGTTTATTGGAGATAGTCTCATGGACTTTTCCTGCCCAGGCTGGCTTCGAACAGGTCTCAACCTCCTGAATAGCAAGGAGTACAGGCATGAGCCCACTGGCCAAAGTTAGCTATTTAATAGGAAATTTAAATTACATTTCATTCCAAGTGAGCTTTAAGCAGACATGATTTATACAATTGATTTTTAAAAATTTTATTGTAAGAGTGATGTACAGAGTGGTCACAGTTACATAAGTAAGGTAATGAGTACATTTCTTATGGAACATTGTTACCCCCTCCATTTTCTCCCACTCCCCTCTCCCCCCATATTGTAAAGTTCATTTCCAACATAGTGCCTTATATTGTTGATGCATTGGTTTACCCATTGTCTTTTGTCTCATTCTTCCCTAAGTCAGATAATCATATATACAAGACACAGGATACCAAAAAAGTGTATAGAACATTTCACAAATTTGTCATCCTTGCGCAGAGGCCATGCTAACCTCTTTCATTCCAATTTTAGTATATGTGTTGCTAAAGCAAGCACACATTGGTTTACATAGGCAAAGATTTCATACACTAAAGTTAATGTAAAAATTATAAACATTTTTATTAAAATAATCAGGTACAAGTCTTTCAAAAGTAACTTACAGAATCCATGTCCTATTTCATAGTTTACCATCAAAAAGTAATTGTTTTAGCCATTTTTATGTAGTAAGCTAAATTATATAGCTATAGCTAAATTATATAGCTATACTTTATTTTTTAAGTATTGGGATTCTGAATTTAGGTCTTATAGCTTGCTAGGCAGATACTGTGCTGTTGAGCTACATCTCTAGCTCTTTTTAAAATACTTTTTTTTATTGTAAAACTGTATGGGGGAGTTACAGTTACATGAGCAAGGTAATGAGTATGTTTCCTATCAAGCATTGTTGCCTCCTCTGTTTTTCCTCTACCATCCCTTCCCTCCCACTTCCACAACTACATTCCCTCCCACCTTCCATCCCCACCCCAGCCTAAATTGTAAAGTTTGTTTCCAACATAATGTCTTGTACATTAATAGGGATAAAGGTTAACCTTTATCCCTATTTAAACATTTTCTTTTTTCACTTCCCCTCCCCAAATTAGAGAATTGTATATAAAAGATACAGGTCACCAACATCAAATACAATGAAAACAGGGGTTATACCCTGGGTGAGGAACATACAAAGCAACAAAAACATCACATGGTACATTATAAATACTTAGAAACAATATCAAGAAAGAAAAACACTTGTGTCCCTATGGGCTTCATTTCACGTAACATCGTCTTATCTGGTCATATGTACATAGCTTTTGACCTTTACTACTTGTCCCAGATATACACTAGTTACTGCAAATAAGGGAAACCACGGAACCTATGTTTCTTTGGGCCTGGCTTGCTTAATACAATCTTTTCCAAGTCTTTCCATTTCCTAACAAATGGGGCGATGTCATTTTTTCTGATGGAGGCATAGAATCCCATTGTGTGTATATATATATACCACATTTTCTCGATCCATTCATCTACTGAGGGACATCTAAGTTGGTTCCATATCTTAGCTATAGTAAATAATGCTGCAATAAACATAGTTGTGCTGGTATCTTTCGTATGGTCTTGTTTGTGATTATTCGGGTAAATGCCTAAAAGTGGGATTGCTGGGTCATAGGGGAGCTCTATGTGGAGTCTTTTGAGGAAACTCCATACTAGTTTCCAAAGTGGTTGAACAAGTTTACACTCCCACCAACAATACGGTAGGGTTCCCTTCTGGCCACATCCCCTCCAGCAAGTGTTGTTATTAGAGTTCTTGATTATAGCCATTCTAACTGGGGTTGAGGTGGTATCTCAATGTTGTTTTGATTTGCTTTTTTTTATGGCTAGGGAGGTTGAGCATTTCTTCATGTGTCTATTGGCCAGCCTTCTTTCCTTTTCAGAGAAGTTTCTCTTTTAAGTCTTTAGCCCACTTATTTATTGGGCAGTTGTTTGAGGATTTGTTGTTGGGGGATTTAATTTTTTGAGTTCCAGGTATATTTTAGATATGAGATCCTTATCTGTTGTATGGCTAATGAAGATCTCCCAATCCATGGGCTTTCTATTGATCTTGCTAGTTATGTCCTTTGCCATGCAGAAGCTCTGTGGCTTCATGCAATCCCATTTGTCCAACCTTTCTTTGATTTGTTGTGTTTCTGGGTCTTTATTAAGAAAAGTTCATTCCTGAACAGAGTCCCAGGGTCACAACAAGTTGGAGAGAGACTCGACAAATGGGACTACCTTAAAATAAAAAGCTTCTGCACAGCTAAATCTATTGCAACTAAGCTAGAAAGACAACCAACTAATTGGGAATAAATATTTACCAGCAATATATCAGACAAGGGGTTAACATCCTGTATATACAGGGAACTCCCTCCCAAACCTAACAAACCAATTACTAAATGGGCAAGGGAGCTAAAGAGGGACTTCTCAAATGAAGAAATAAAAATGGCAAAGAAACACATGAGGAAATGTTCATCATCCCTGGTGGTGAAGGAAATGCAAATAAAGACAACCCTGAGATACCACCTTACCCCAGTCAGAATGTCCCACATCCACAAATCAGCCAATGACAAATGCTGGAGGGGATGTGGAGAAAGAGGAACCCTATTACACTGCTGGTGGGAATGTACACTTATACAACCACTGTGGAAAGTAGTCTGGAGGGTCCTTAGAAAGCTAAAGATTGACCTCCCTTACGACCCAGTCATACCACTTCTAGGCATCTACCCTGAACAACAGGAACCAATATACAAGGACACGTGCACCTCCATGTTTATTGCAGCACTGTTCACAATAGCTAGGATATGGAAACAACCCAGATGTCCCACCACAGATGAATGGATCCAAAAATTGTATCTATACACAATGGAATATTATGCAGCCATTAGAAATGACAAAATAATGGCATTTGCAGGGAAATGGATGGAGCTAGAAGGAATCATGTTGAGCGAGGTAAGCCAAGGACGAAGAGACAAACGGTACATGGTCTCCCTGATAAGTGGATGCTAAATCCAAAATGTTAGGCGATATGACAAAACTAACAGGACTTCAGAAACAAAGAACTCCCACTCATCTGGTTGAACCACTACTAAGTATCCCCATGCTGCTGATCACATATATGGTATATAACATGTGAACACCGTTATATATTACGGACTGTGATAGACAATTTGCTCCAGGAAAGTTAGAATGAACTTGTGACTTTAAATGAGCATCATTATTCCACAATACTGTGAAATTCCAGAAATTATGTAATCACTCAATCACAATCAAAAAAAAAAAAAACCTTGGGGAAGGGAGGGAGGGAGGGAGTGGATGGTAGGGGGAAAACAATGGAGGGGATAACAATGTTCAAGAGGAAGTGTACTCATTACCTCACTCATGTAACTGTAACCCTCTGTATAGTATCTTTACAATAAAAAAAAAAAAGATACAAAAAAAAAAAGTTCAGCCTGTGCCAAGGAGCCTTAAGATTTCTCCTATTCCATCCTGTAATGTTTTCAGAGTATCTGCTTTGACTCTGAGGTCTTTGATCCATTCAGAGTGGATTCTGGTGCAGGGTGATATATTAGGATCTAGCTTTAGTTTTCTACAGGTGATTAACCAATTTTGCCAGCACTATTTACTGAAGAGGCTGTCTTTCTTCCATGCTATTTTTTTTTTAGCTCCCTCATCAAAGATTGGGTGCTATAGGTCTGTGGGTTCATTTCTGAGTTTTTAATTCTGTTCCATTGGGCCTCAGGTCTGTTTTTGTGCCAGTAGCAAGCTGTTTTAATTACTATGGCTTTGTAGTAGAGTTTGAAATTTGGTATTGATATTCCTCCAGCACTGTTCTGTTAAGGATTGTTTTTGCTATTTGGGGTCTTTTATTGTTCCATATGAATTTTTGGATCGCTTCTATTTCATTGAAGAATGAGGTTGGAATATTGATAGGCATCGCATTGAATTTGTAGATAGCCTTGGGAAGTATTGCCATTTTCACGATGTTGATCCTTCCAGTCCAGGAGCATGGGAGATTTTTCCACTAAGTTCTACTTTGATTTCCTTTTTCAGGTTTTTAAAGTTTTCATCATAGAGGTCCTTCTTTAGTTAATTCCTAGGTATTTTATTTTTTGTGGGGCTATTACAAAAGGGATTGAGTTGCTTTCCTGATTTCAGCAGCACTCTTCTCATTGTTGGCATACAGAAAAGCCATTGATTTTTGAGGGTTAATTTTATACCCTGCTACTTTGCCAAAGTTTCAAATCAGCTCTAGTAATTTGGGAGTGGAGTCCGTGGGATTCTTTAAATACAAGATCATGTCATCTGCAAAGAGGGAGTTTTACTTCATAATTCCCTGTCTGTATCCCCTTTATGTTTGTATCTTATTGCTGTAGTTAGGCATTCTAATACTAGATCAAAAAGAAGTGGAGAGAGTAGACATCCTTGTTTCATTCCTGAGTTTAGAGGAAATGGTTTTAGTTTTTCACCATTAGGTATAGTGCTGGCTGTAGGTTTGTCATATACAGCCTTTATTGTATTGAGGAATGTTTCATGGATTCCTAGTTTTTCCAGAGCCTTCATCATAAAGGGGAGTTGGATCTTGTCAAATGCTTTTTCTGCATCTATTGAGATAACCATGAGGTTCTTATCATTGCTCTTGTTGATGTGATGATTTTTTTTTTTTTTTTTTTGGTCAGTCATAGGGCTTCACCTCTGGGCCTGAACACTGTCCCTCAGCTCTGTAGCTCAAGGCTAGGCTCTACCACTTGAGCCACTGTGCCATTCTGGTTTTCTGAGTGGTTTATTGGAGATAAGAGTCTCACAGACTTTCCTGTCTGGGCTGGCTTTGAACTGCGATCCTTAGATCTCAGCCTTCTGAGTAGCTAGGATTATAGGGGTTAGCCACCAGTGCCAGGTTGATGTCATGAACTATAGTAATTGATTTGCATATGTTGAACTAGCTTTGCATCTCTGAAATGAATCTTGTTTGTGGTGTATGATTTTTTTTTGATGAATTGTTGAAGTTGATTGGCCAAAATTTTGTTGAGAAGTTTTGTGTCAATGTTCATCAAAGAAATGGGACTATAGTTCTTTCTTTGATGGGTCCCTGCCTAGTTTGGGGATGAGGGTTACGATGGCTTCATAGAAAGAGTTCTGTTTCAGAGTGGTTTCTTGGCCTTTATTGTTTTCTTGTTGGTTTTCTATGTGTAGGACATCTTTAAGTATCTTTTGTAGGGCTGGTTTGGTTGAGATATATTGTTTCAGCTTTTCTTTGCTATGGAAGGTTTTTATTTGACCTTCCATTATGAAGGAGAGTTTAGGTGGGTATAGTATTCTTGGTTGATAGTTGTTAGTGTTTAGCACGTGGCATACATCATTCCAGGCTCTTCTGGCTTTAATTTTCTCTGCTGAGAAATGTGAGGTTATTCTAATTGGTTTCCCTTTATAGGTGATTGATCTTTTCTTCTGGACAACTTTAAGGATCCTTTTCTTAGTCTGAATTGATCCTGTGT